ATATATATATATATATAAGTAGAAGACAACATTCATCTTATAAGTCCTACATCGACTAGAAATAAGATAATTAAAAAAATAAAATAAAAAATAAAAAAAATATATAAGTAGAAGACAACTCTCATCTTACAAGTCCCACATCGACTAGAGATAAAGTAATTAAAGAGTATTTTTACTCATTTTACAAGTTCCACATCGACTAAAAAGTAAAAAATGTCACAAAAAGTTATTTATCTTATGTTTCTATATTTTTATTTTTACATGTTTTTTTTTATAATGATTGAAGTATTTGATCCATTTAGATAGCCAAGATATATTCGATATTGTATGATTGGTGTGTTTCTAAAAATAATAATATAATTTTATTGATTTTGTCTCTTATCCATAATTATTTATATAACTAGTTTTCAACATATATTATTTTAGTAATTCAAATGACAGATTCACAAGGAAATAAAAAAAAAAGGAAAAGAGAAAGAAAACTATGAAGTTTGGACCAAGGAGGATTCCGATGAATTGTTACAATTGATAGTGGATGCTATAAAAAGATGATAGGATATTATGGAGAATTATTATTATTATTTATCTAGACATTATTATTATTTTTATTATTTTTGTCTTTGACTCTTTTAAATTTGAATGTATGAATTTTTTTTTTAAATCTTATCAAATGTCAAAACTCCACAAAATCCCACAGAATCCATTAAAATCGTGATTTAAAAGTCTTGCAGAATCCATTAAATTTTAAGTCTTGTAGAATCCTGCAAAATCTTAAAAGTCATGAAAATCCTGCAGAGTCTTTTAAAATCTGCAGGATTTTTTTTAACTAAAAAAGTCCTTTAAAATCCTAATCCAATACACCCCTCTTAATCTCCCGACTCTTTTTCTTTATAAGAATTAATGATTTCATTTATATGAAAAAATAATGAATTTTTAAATACTTAAGATCTGTGTGTGGTGCACGTGCAAATACATACATGCAACTTTACACAAATAATATTTGGATGATTTTTTTTTGTTTAATTACGGATTTTAAATTCAATTCTTAGATATATAATTACATTAATTACTTGAAAGGGGAGAACTTTTACGTCGATAGTAGCCTTATTTAATTTGAACAAAATTGCTTTCAATAAAACATATAAAATGGAACATTTTGTTTTTACAAAATGCTTATTATTAGGCGGAATTTAATAAAAAGGAATATGGTCTCATCTCTTTTAATCAGTCTTGTACTTTTTTGTTTTGATAATTTGAAATTTCTACTCATTGGTTGCTAATAAACTGTATAATTGGTTATCTGGTTTGATCTGATTTTTATGGTTGATTAGGATATTATGCAGTTTTTTCTACAAGTATTTTGGAGTATTATCTTCAACATCGTGAGTTGTGTTATGAAAATAAAAGAAAACGACAAAATTTGCATGGCAAAAGTTGTGGATAGCCGTTGATTGGGTCCTTGTGGCTGCTTTGATCATAATGAAGTTTATTTTATTTAAGAATTAATTAACCTTTTGATTTTATAGCTTTTTGGTTACTAAAAATTAGAAAGTTAGCATTAGTTTAGTGTTAAATTAGATATTTCTTATGGCTCTTTATCTTTATCAAACAACTCTGGCTACTAGAATATGAATTTGGGTTATTTGATCAATTCTCCATCAGTTAAGAGTATTCTTTATATTTTTATGAATATATTTATTTTTCTCATAAAAAATAAGTTAAATATATGTTATAACAACAAAATACCAAGTATACTTCTTAATTTAGTACTATGTTAACTGCATTTAACAACCAATTATTTTTAAAAATGGCATCTTAAAGCTACATAATGCTTTAAATCGTATATGGCCCTCATATACTGCTTATGAAATTTATACCTAAATCATTAGAGGAAAGAATAGATCCTCTATGTCTTGAAGTGGTAGTCTCATATATACCCCACTAGAATCACTTCAAAAGGGAAAATAAGAAGCATAGCTTATCTTTCTAGCATATATCCAGTGTCCTATTGGGTTTCGCTTGGGCAATTGGAGGTACAATAGGCACCTCTTCATCATCAAAGGGATTGCGGAATTTCCTTCATTGCTTTTCAGCCAAAATAATAACATAATACAAATTAAGGTGATGGATTACCCAAAATTTTACAGGCAGATTTGTCAACCAAAATTGATAATTAACCAAAATTTCTTACTAATTCTATTCATGCTTTTGGTTTTGAATAAGTTGTAGAATTTTTATGTATATCAAGCAATTAAAAAAATTATTGACTATTAAATATGAAATAAACTAATTTTTAGAGCATATATCTTATTTTCCTCATTTTGTGCTTTTCTTTTCGCATAAAAATATTTTCTTATCGACAAGAAAAAAATTAATTCATTTCAAAATATAGATATTACCAAAGTGACTTTTTCTTTTTACTCATCTATTTGTACTACTTCCGGATAAGGTAAAAAATACCTATTGCCGCCATAACATATTATCATTCAAGATTTTTTTTTTAAGTTTTTTTTTTCAAATAGAATAAAGAGCCTAGTTCCCATATCACTGACCTAATTCAAATGAAAACATGTGAATTAATGGCTTGTATAGCATGTTGATCTGCAAGGCGATTTTAGTTAATTGCAAATCTGCATATATGTTACATAAAGTACATGTACAGATGTACTCCTATAAAAGAAAAACATATATAAGGATTAAGCTAATTAATAATAGAAGATTTAGTCATCGAGGAATTAATTACATTGTCTGCCATTAATTTTCCTTGGCTTTTATAATTTCACTTCATTTGAAATGACATCACTACATCATATAATATGAATAAGTATCATCAATTAACAGTCAGCCGTTAGACCCCATTGAGAAAGAATAAAACTTGTCAGTTTGAAACAGAAGATATGATTAAGCTTTAGAGCCACTATCATTGTTTTTTCACACAAAATATATTTAAAGGAGACACAGTAAAGCGCATCATAAGTGGTAACTGTGAGAAAAAACGGAAGTTGAGAAAGAGCACTACTCATTTGTGGATATAACAAAATAATGATCATCATCAATGTCTAAAACAGAAGAAGCAAAAATTTAATATTATGGATCATCACCATGAATGGAAGTGACTTGCTACCTCTAGCTTCCTAGTTCAAAAACAATCGGTCTAATTGTGGCATGAATTGCTGGTAGCAATTATAGTAAAGTTTAACCCTTCAAAAGTAGAAAATTAAAATAATATATCTCAACAGTTAGTACGAGAATATTAAAGCATATAAATATATAATTAATCCACAAGTCTAAGCTTGACACAAAGAAGTAGATATATATATAACTATGAATAATAATATCATACTTTTTGGTTTCTCATCACAGGATCATGGCCTCCATGTATATCCATTCACTCTCTCACAGTCTCACTTCCACTTTTCAGTACTTCCCCACGCACTATCAGTCTACTACCAGTACGCACTGTCTGCTTTTAAAGCAGAGATGCATGATATCCCAGAATTTAATTTTAAACTTTTGCTTCTGCCTGAACAAACAGGATCCAAAGACAAACAGTCTATTTCGACCAGATATAGCAGCTTTCACAAAAAAATTAACAAAGAAAAAAAAACCCTAAATATTATGATACTAAATTAGATCACAATTCTAAAAGCATATTGGGATTAAAAGAAGAGATCCCACTTGGAAATTAAGTTTTTGAGTTTTGCCACAAGGAGAAAGAGTAGAATTTGGCATGGAGTGAGAATTGAATTCCCTTAATGAGTTGCACTTGCACCTGGAGGAGGAAGAGGATGATGAGGCAGCGGCATGGGTTGTTGCTGAGGTTGTGGACGCTTCCGTTTCTTCTTCTCATAGCTAATCCCTCTTGCTTTGGATTGCAAATCACGAACCTCACGAAGGTAGAGTCTCACAGCTCGAGCTCCAAAAGGATTTGCCTCAGGTTTTCCTCCATTTTCCTCAAAAGCTGCACGCAAACGCCCTATGAGAGCGTCAAGACTCCCCCAAGCTTGCCTTAGAGGACATGGACATGGTGCTGGAGGGTTAGGGTGACCATAAAAGGGGCAGATCGGTGTGTGCACTTTGGTCTTCCCAAATTGATCCAGGTACCTATATACACACAACAAAAAATACATAAATACATAACAAACATCACTAGTTTTGACCAAAGGAAACAATCTTATTTGAGTCTGACAGGACTATTGTAGACGATAAAACTCTCTTTCTGAACATTTAAAGCAGTTGATATCTTAAATTTGAACTTGAGTATGAGTATGTAACTGCTTTAAATACTCGGAATAAGAGATTTGATGTTTGTAGTGATCCTATAGAAGAGGTGCATGGTGTGTAAGACTAATTATAAGAGGGGGTGTATGTTATGTCTGTACCTTAGAAATTCAAGGACATGTGCACCGCTGCACCTGGAGAGGGAGAGAGGGGGACGGTGATTCTTGAGGTATTGGCCGAAGGTGTTCCAGTCACGGCGCTTCTGGTTCTCGTAGCGGCTGCTGGTGTTGGTGATGGAAGTTGAAGAAGGTGAGGAAGAGGTAGCACTAGTGGTTAAGATGGAGGTGGTATTGGTGAGGTTGCAGGTGTTGTCAGAGTTACATGTGTCTATAAAGTCTTGAATATTTGAATCCATGGTCCTTGCGCTTGCTTTGCTTTGTAGATCCAAGGTTAATTGTTTTGATTCTGTGTGTGTCTTCCAATAGTTTATCTGGGTTGCTGTTCTAGGGTTCTCAAGACAGTGACCAGAGTGAGGAGTGTGAGAGAGATGAAGGTTAATTGAGATAAAGAATTACTATACTTATAGGTTGGATAACAGTTGAGGAAATGTCCTTTTGTTTGAATAATTTCTTTTTTAATGTTTTTTTCCTTTTAGAAGTTACTGTAAATGAAAAGAACCACCTTAAATGGGGAATAAAAATTATTAAAAAAAAATATGGAAAGGGAACAAAGTCTGATTAATTGTTGATTGGTGTTACAGGCTTGATGGGATTTTTTTTATTTCAATTTTGTTGTTATGGAAGAGAAAAATGTATGTGGAAGAGAGAGATGATACTCATGTACCTGCAAATGGTGAAGCAAAAGAAGATTTATTGATGTTGAGATCGAATATGATGAGATTGATGGGAGTGTGAGTGGCCCGTTCGTCTTTGGTCTTTGCAGCAAAGTTATAAGTATTTGTTGAGCAATACTAGAAAGGTCACAAGAGTAGCTGTGGCAGCAGCGTTGGTATTTTTTAGTAGCTTTGATTTCTGAGATTGCTAAGTGATTGGGTTTTTTCCTTAAAAGGGTGGAGCAAACCCAAATTTTCATCGTCGCTTGTTAATGGTTGTATTAATATTCTTCTTTGTGTGGTGTTAGGTAAGAGAGAGAGAGAGAGAGGAGAAGGACTTACTAGGGCTTTGGAGGAAATAGGAAAGAAAGGTTGGACAGTAGGTTTGGATGGAGACAGGAAAAAGTTTTGAAGGGGTAAAAATGAGGGAATAACATGATTCTGTTTCTTGACCCTGTAGTCTTGAATGACAGTTCCTTTCGAATTGACCTAAATACCCCTCTCAGTTTACCCTTTTTAACCTTTTCTTTCTCTTAAGAAAGATAAAAGTTTAATTTCTGACACCACCTTTGTCCACTTCTCACCACCCTCGTTATATAAAAATTAAATAAAACAGAAAAAATAAACAAATCAAAGGAGGGTAAAAAAAAGTTTTAAATTCAGTCTCCATTATATTTTACCAGGGAATCAAAGAAATCCTGTTTGGTTGACACAAAAAGTCACGTTTTGAGGAAACAATGAGCAAAACGGTGATGAATTCCTGTTTCGGAGAATACAGCATTTTCCATGAGCAAAACGGATTAAAAATTGGATTTTAATTCTATATAGGAAAACATAAAACCAATTCAATTCTATAGATCAAAAAGTGATGAAGACATCAGATTAACCTTATTTGGAGATATATATAATACCAATCGAAATATTATATATGTCTAAATCGTAAAATTAAATTATATTTATGTAATATGTTTTTAAAAATTAATATCAATATAAATATTATATTATGAAAATTTATCTATTAAGTCAATGCATTTTATTATTAAATATTAATTAACACATAACCATTAAAGTAAAATTAATTTTAAACTAATACAAGATATCAAGTCAATTAAAACAATCAAAAGTATAAATTAATTTTATTCTCAAAACATATTAAATCTAGTTTGTTTCACATTATCATAGGTTGAGTTTTAGAGTGAAAAGAGAGAAGTTTCAGAGAAGTGAAATTACAAGAGATGGTTTCATTAAGAGAAGTGAAAAGAGAGGCATTAGGAGAAGTTCCATTGAAGTGAGATGATTATGTGCGCTATTTAGTGTACAGGGCAAGCAAAAGGAGAGGTAAATGGAGCTATTACAACCTTTTTTCTCTCTCACGTTTTAAATAGGTACAGAGATTTGGATCCATAGAAGATGTTTCATATATGGAGTGTATGGGTACAAGAGAAGTTCATTGCACAAATAATATAGGTTAAGGGTTTATTGGCTTATTTTTTATTATTTATTTTTAGATTTTTTGGGGTCAAGGAACCAAAAAAGTTGGAAAGATAATTGGATGAAAATATGTATAATTGATATGAAGAATTTTGTGAAACAAATATGAAAAATACAAAAGGAGAAGCATAATAGAAAGGAGGTAGGTGAGACAAGTTGCTACAACAATGGTGAAAAAATAAAGACACCTAACAAATACACTAGAAGTGAGGAGTTAGTCATGGAAGAAGGAAAATGAGGAACAAATATCTCATTTGCATAGGTTGTTGAATTGGTTAGGGACGGAAACCAAATGAAGGCAAGAGAAAACAAAAATGCTTATTGATGCAAAATCATATAATTGTGGATAAGCCACGAGATTAAGGAGGATATATATGGGGAGGTAGAGTCGCTTAAAAAGAGTTTGATGGGAAAACTACACAATTAAAGAAAATTGTTCATATTGCAAGATTTTTATGTGTGGAGGGATTGATTCAATGAGCAACTGAGCATTACATGGTAACATGACAAGGGTGGATAAGGTTGATTTACAGAAAATTGTTTAAAGGTACATAGGACTAGTTAAGCAAAATATTTGAATTGATTTACCCTTGGAGCTTAGTAGAGGTTCCACGACATAGGTCGGCACGGGTGAGGTGTGGTGGAATCGTAACACCCCTAATATAACAACATCAACGACATGTAAGGCTTATGCGACACTATTGTCTTCAAAAATACACAGTGATTTTTTCTTCTAAACTACAATATATGTAGTAGATACAGAAGAATCTAAAATAGAATTACAATTTCTAAAAGCTAGTCATATATGGCATAAAAGTTTACTTGTGGTGAAGAAGAAAGTCGAAGTGTTGCCACATGAAATGAACAAGGGCAAGTCCTATCAAGCTTCTGCTAGCCATTTTGATCTAAGATACTGACGATTCTTTGTTGCTACCAAACATGGATAGTTCGTCAATCACTGCTCCAACACGAACTACACTAAGGCTAGAAGAAAGAAAGAAAAGAAACAAAATGCCTAAGAAATAAAAAATCTTATTGCTAGAAATTAATGAGGAGACAATTATTAAATTTATATATTGAAATTAATTATCTCTAACCATGGAATTACAATTAAAACAATTCAATTATAATAAAACATAGTCAACTGACACAAGACCAATTGAGCCATTATACAGTAAAATGCATGTCATATGAGACATCTCCACTGGCCTCTATGTGTAAAAATCAATATTCACCAACAATAGGTGATTCACCAAAAGTCTCGAGTGATAACAGGTAAATGCTATCACACTACACTGGTCATAGATAAGTAGTGATTTGTTAGGTATGTTGATTAGTATGTATACCCCTTGACCATGATCAAAACTTGCAACCAACGAGCCACATGGAGAATGTTGTGCATTAGACCTCCTAAAGGCTAAAGGTCTCCTCAGCTTCCATTACAAAATTCACACATCATTTCTAGACTTGGCAATGGGTTGGGGTGAGGGTGAGGGTGAGGGTGGCCTCGCCTCTCTTGTCCCAGTCTCCAAATCTGCAAAATATCCGTCTTTAATTTTCCAATAGGATAAAAGAGTGTCCATCCTTTTCCTCAATGAGAATGAATTTTTCTTGTCTCATCTTTGTTCCCATAGTGACAATCGATGAGAAAAAAAAAGACAAAAATGTAAAAAGAAAAGAAGTTTGTGGATTTTAAACTTGATGCTAGTAACCTTATTTAATATTACTTTTGTTACCATTTATAAAAAATAAATACTTAATTCATCAAAATCAATAAAAATTATTAAATTAATTAGTTTAATTAATAATGTCATAATTTAAAATTTTATTTAAAATATACTCATAAAATTAAATGTAAGATATGTTATAGTTATATTTAATAACAACAATCAAAAGTGAAGAATAGTTTTTTAAACAATAAATATGACTTTTATAAAAAATAAGTAGAATCACAAATAAGCTTACAATAATTAAATTAAGGATACAAATGATAATTATCAATTAATACATTTAAAAGTAAATTTGTATTTTTTTTATAATTATAATAAAAAGAAGACTCA